TTTAAACAACATAAAAAATTTTCTTTTGTAGAAAAATAAACAAAGGACTATTGGTATCTATTAGTTGATGACGATCATCAAATAAGAAATTTGTAAAAACATGTTAAATCTTGTTTATGAATCGATAAACATAATGAAGTAAGTTAATCTATTGGACAAAAATGATGTAATAAATCTTTAGAATTATCACAAGCTTAATTTGATATCTATACATTAAAAAGTACAAGAAAAAAATTTTTTTTTGGTTTGAATATTGTTATTTTTTATTTTTTTATTTTATGTAAAATTTATATGTTATTTTAAATTCCTTAATAATTCTGTATACATTAATTTTTTAAAAAATTATAAATAAATAAATCATTATAAAACATACAGAATTTTGATATAGATTCATTAATTACATATACAAACCTTATAAAAAATATATCATTTTCTTATTTCGATTTCTTATAGGAATGAAAGTAATCAATATATAAGACTAGCATATAGGCTCTTGATCTATTTTGAAATACTGATCCTTGTGATTCTTGTTTAACCAATACTCGAGTTAAGAAAAGAGAGCATGAAAAAATTATATGATTTAACCAACTGAAAAAGAAAGATCATTTGTCATTACAATTTGGAAATTGGTTACTTAGGTGGTAATGATTGGTATGCAACATCTTTATAATATGTTAATTTGTTCACTTTACCTAAACAAAAACATTAAGTCTCAAGCAAAAGACTATGTTTCAAGATAATAAAGAATTATTACCATTGTGTCGATGAATATATTTATTTTAGCTAAAAAATTTGAAGATAAATCCCATTTTATAAGTTTTTTGTTATTAAGTTCTTGATTATAAGCCAAAGAACTAATGCACTATATAATTTTGTTACTGAATTTGGCTTCTATCTTATAATTATTATCATGGAGATCTACTATGAAAGAAGCTTTTTAGATTATTATTTATGGTCATATTTTTTTTTATGAAATGATGAGAATCATATATTATAACTACTTGGAGATTCTTCTGAAGAAGTACCAAATACTCAATTAAATGTAAAGATAAATTAGGATGATTTGTATAATATAAATCATGTGTATATTAGGATTCCTCAAGGTATGTATGCAAAAAAAATTGTTATTGGTAATTTAACGTAAATTGTTAGTATTAAAACATTTGATTACAAAACATTTTTCAGTTCTGCCTAATTTATAGTGCTGGCATGAATTAAATTCAACCAGTTATTAACTGATGTTAATCTGGGTTTTCTTACTTTCTCAAGTTAACAAACACTTATTTTACTTCTTATAAAGTTGTCTGATGTATAATTTATGTAGTATTTAATTAATAAGATTCGCTAGTAGTTAGTTATTGCATCAAAACCTTTATGAAGACACGAAGAAGATTTAAAGGTAAAATAAACAACTTTATTAATTAGGATTAGGATTTCAACAAACGTTTTCTTTAGATTTATCATCACAACTAGAATAGTCTAATTAAATCTTTGAGAGAAACATTTACAAACTTGTTAATTTGTCTATATTTCTCTAGATGAATCCCAAACTTTTTATACAAAATCATTATTTCAATTTACTAGCAGACATAATAGAATTTAAAAATAAAACTAATATAATAAAATTAATAAATAAAATAAATATAAGTAATTAAACAGATAAAAAAAGATATGTAAAACATATCTGACATAGCTGACATATTCATATGCACCGCAGTAACTACACCAATCATAGAATTAACTCTATGCTAAATAGTAGTATAAAGTTGTTTACATTTTGTAGGATAGTAGTTTAAGTAAGGGTGGTGATAAATATTAAGCAATCAGGTAAATTTGGTAATCTAGTAATGAGAATAGAGATTCGTTAAGGAATTGGGTAAAGTTTTTAAGCTGTAGGCTTATTATATAAGTATAATAGCAACTAATATGTGTTAAGGAGTTAGGTTAAGTTCGTAATTTGAGTATCATTACAATAGAGTGTTTGTTATTAAGGAGTTGGGTAAAATTGGTAAACTAGTTATTGGAGTATTATCGCAATAGAGTTCCGTTAAGGAGTTGGGTAACATTGGTAAGTTCTTTATTGGAGAATTAGAGCAATTGAATTCCGTTAGGGTGTTTGGTAAAGTTGGTAAGCTAGTTATGTGAGTTCTATTACAAATAAGTTTTGTTAATTTTCGAAATCTTTGCAATCCCACTGATGTGTTTATTATGACATCCTTATTAGAATTTGTAATAGTTAAACCATCAATATTATTATCAAAAATTATTAATTCGAGATTTCTGATTCTCTTTTATAATTCATTAATAATATCTTGCTTTTCTTTGGATGCTTCTTCTAGTTCTCTAACATTTCTTCATAATTATTAATGATTTCTTGCTTAGCTTTGGTTTCTTCTTCTTGCTCTTTAACCTTTTCTTCTAAATATTTGAATTTTGAACGTAACTCTTCGTTACTTTGCTCTAATTCTTTAATTTCGTTTAAAGTATTTTAGAGATTTCTCTAAATTGATCAACATTGGGACATACATATGCATTATGTATTTTTTTCTTGCATAGAAAATTACCAATAGAAACTCTCTTTATTTAGCCATTCGGTTAAATTTTTCCGAACAGTAATTATTTCCATATATAAACTAGTCTGTTTGAATAACGAGTCTTACCAAATAAAGTTAATTGCTTTCTTAAATTGAGTATCCCAAAAATATCTTAAGGGAAATTTCATCTTACAAGAATGATAATAATATATAGTTTATCGTATGAATTTAATGTGTCGATGATTCCATATCTAATCCTAACAATAATGGTTCAGATTAATCTACTTGTCAAAGTAATAATTTATTTTTTATTTTAATATATATACATTATTGTTGTAGAATATTTATTAGTATTAACACCATACTGGCACGCCTTTTTTTTCAATTAATTGTATAGCATTCTTTTAATTTGAAATACCATCAAGGTTTTTATTCAAAAATCTCAGTATCAATCATAAATTTATATTCTATATTGAGGTTTCGAAGTACTTTAGCCAACTTTTCGATATAGAAACATAAGATTCTAAGAGAAAAATTGCTGACGAATCACATCAGCCTATATACAAGATGGCCAAAATTAAATGTAGTTATTAATGTTAAATGCCAATAAACATTATTACAGAATCTTGCAATTATTATGAGGTAATGATCGATTTTATTAATATAAAGATTATAATAGATTATTATTACTTTATTCAAAGTTAGGATAAAATACATTAGGATAATGATGTTATTATGTTATGATTTGATGAAATCTCTGATATGCTGTAAATTTAATAATAAAATATTATCAGAGAAAAGTAAATAAACCCTTAGAACATAATTTTGCTGCGAACCGAACTAGTAAGTAAATGTTATTTGTAAATATAATCCACCCTCATCTTTGAACGAATGCGTTCCATACTTCGACCTTGACTTCGAGTTTTACCATTCCAATAATTTTTAACTTGCAATTCTGTTCTTCTTAATTTCTGATTTATTGACAATTCTTCTGCTATTTTTGCCCATTTTTTATAATAAGACGGATCAGCTTGAAGAGAGTTAATTTTTAACTTTTCCCCTTCTGTCAGTTGATCCTTATCGACTACAATGGAAGGAGAATGTAAATTAAATATGCAGAAGAAAAGTATCAAACATTAGAATGCATACGAACTCGTTGGATCCAAATGATTAACATATCTGGCAATGCAACGAAAATTAAGTTAAAGAGAAATCTTGCATTTTAAGTTATGAATCTTGAAGAAAAGTCTCACCGCTCGCGGACACTTTTATGATTTCGCTTTAACAAGTCACCAAATATTCTCCATTTATTTACTTTATCAGAATGTTGATTATATAAATTTATAAGTTGACGATCTTCCTAATAAAGAAATTTAAAAGAGGTTCAAGATTGTAATCGCACATTTAAAGTTTATTTTCATCAAATACCTCTTCAGAGTAAGCTCCGAGAACCTTTGCTCTTTTAATATTATGTTTTTTAAGAGATTTTCCTATTGTATTTGTAGTTTGATTCGACATTTTGAGAAAAAATTTCTTTTTTTTTTACCATATTTCTTTGACCGTTTTATATGATTACTCAAGATTGAATATTGGCGGCAACCATTAGTTCCATTAATGTTGGACCGCATAATTACTATTTGATTTGTTTAATAACCGCATTAAATATCACGTCCCTAGTGTATAATAATTGTATATTATTATGCATTGGCGTGACAACTTTGTAGTTAGCAGATATTTTACGCCCGACCAAGCCTGTTGCCAACAGGTTATTTTTTATAAATATCAATATAAAGATTGTCGCACAATTTAGTATTCATTAAATCTTACCAGACAGAGAAAACAAAAACCTTCTTTTTTTAATCCCTCTTCTAGATAATTAAAAATGAAAGAGATCATTCCGATATAATATAAACCGGCATGCGTGCCGATAACTTTTGACCATTACTAACGGGTAGTAATTACAGTAAACGACCGATAAACGTTGGATCATCCAGAAAATTTCTGAAAAAGATCCAGTTTTCCGAGTTTCCGGAATGTTCCATTTTTTATAGGGTAATATTTGAATAAAATGATTTAAATAAAAATTCTACTAAATATATTAGTATATATAGATTATCTAATTGGTTTAGCCAACGAGTTTCAATAATTGTCGCACGGCATTATAATTTTCTTTGTTTATGAATCGGCAAGATTAAGGATATATTAATTAAAAAGATTTTTGTCATTATTTGATTCGTTACCATATTACCATATTATCTTGTAGTACAAGGAAAGTCTTTGAAGGTTGTCAATTTCTGGAATAAGGTTTTATGAATGAGATTCTGTGCAATCTTGTACGACAGAAGGCTAAAATGTAATTATTGCCGTTTCCAGAAACGAGTACTGTACGATCAATTTTGCAGATTAATTTTGCAGATCATAAAACAAAAAATAAAACGATTACTTCATTTTAATAGTTTAAAAGAATTTTCTGTATGTAGTTTTAACCTTCATGTGCATTATTTTACATAGGCGAATCTGTTTACGAATTAGCAAAGCAATTTTAAAAAATCCATAATCCTCTAGAAGCTCGACCAAAAAAAAAAAAATTAAGTAATCGGTTCGATCTGCAAAAACAACAGCAAAATTAATTTTCTTGCCTTTATGGGTAAGGCTGTTCATCAATCAAAAGGAGCAGAACTCCGATCATGTGTCCGATGTAAAAGAAAAATAATAATTGTCAGAAACGTCGAAAAAAATTTTTTTATATTATAAAAAAAAGAGCTTTTCAATCAACGTGTCGAACATTGAGAAAAATTAAATAATTTGTAGTATATTGTTTTATCGTCTTTTTTTTTTTGGCATTAATTTAACCTTGTATATCGATCGAATTGATGTGATGTATACGATCGATGCCTAATAAGTAATCATTCATTTTGATGACGAAAATTGCTATTTTATTTATATACAAATTTAGAAATTGTACAATCCCTCAATTTTGGTAATTCGGCGGACTTAATTTAATTATAAAAACTATATTTCTCTAATTCTTCAGAACCTTAGCGTTAGGTGATAAAATTAACAAAATGTCAAAAGATGATATTGATGTGCTAGATGAATCAATTAATCGAGGTCATGTCAAGTTTTATGAGTTTTCGTTTTTCGAAAATATACAAATAAAAGGAGATGGTGCTTTTGGAGACGTTTATAGTGCCAATTATAAAGGTCGTAATTTAGCTTTGAAAATTTTTAAGAAAGTACAAAACTTTTTCGAAGAGGTAAATGACATGTCAATTAATTGTTTGAATCTAAATATTTTTTAAATATTTAATTTAAAACTTTTTTATATATCATACGTCAGTTTAAAATTCACCTGAAAATTAGTCATGAAAATATTATACAATATTATGGAATCGCAAAGAAGATTGGTATAATACTTTGAAAATTATACTTAATTAAGAGATTTATTGCATTTTATTTTTTTTCTAAATCTTTTTTATTTCGTTTAGATGAATCTAATTCGATCAAATACTCTATAGTCATGGAACTTGCTGATTGTAATTTGGCAACTTATTTAGAGCGAAACATTTCTGATCTTGATTGGAATAACAAATATGACCTGTCCTTTCAATTGGCGAGTGCTATAAATTATTTACATGAAGAAGATATTATCCATTGTGATTTGGTAAGAAACATTAATTTTAACCTTAATCCTTACTTGTTTTTAGACCATTTACACCTTTTTTTTTTTTTTTTTTTTGAAATTGAAGCATGCAGGTAACGTCCTTGTACGCCTGAATAAAATTAAGGTGGCGGATTTTGGTTTATCAAAAAAGACTACGGAAGTATCAAGCGATGTAACACAACTATATGGAGTTATACCTTATATAGAACCCAAATGTTTCAATGACAAAAGTTATAAACCAGATAAGAAATCTGATGTATATAGCATAGGAGTTTTAATGTGGCAGATTTCAAGTGGATTTCAACCATTTTCGCGTGAAAATTTCAACATCGAACCTGATATTTTAGGAATGAAAATTGGATTGGGAATGAGAGAAAGTGTCGTCGACGGAACTCCTGATGAATATAGTAAATTGTACAAAGGTAAAATGATATTAATGACATTGATTATTACAATTTTAAAATGACTAAAAGTTCAATCAATTAGCATGTTGGAATAATGAACCAAGAGAACGGCCAGATATGCGAAAAGTCTTCTCAACTCTTGAAGCAAGGATGTATCCCGAGCTACATACCGTGAATTCCATCAGTATCGTTTGTAATGGTGGAAATAATTTATCGATAACGAGAATTTCTAAATCTAGTCCAAGCATAAGCATTAAGAGTCGTGATTCAAATATTAGTCGTTTAGATGTAAATTGCGCAATATATCAAACTAAACTTTTGCCAACAATTTCAACAAATTCAAATCAATTAACGCATAAAGCTGATGCAATAGTTAACGTATCTTCTCAAAGTAAACGTTCATCTATAATTTCAACAATTCCAATCGAATCAACATTTAATGAAATGTCTAATGTAATTGCTGACATGATAATCAATTATATAATTAAGGAACACGATAAGAGTATAGGATTTTGTAAAATCAAATCTATCTTTGAACAAGAAATAAAACTTTTATGTAAAGCTATAAGGGACCTCCTACATTGGCTCAAGAAAAATCAACACGAATCAAAATATATTTGGTTCCATGGATTATTCTGCTACTATATCACGAATGATAGTAAGGAATCATTTAAATTGTTTTCAGAAGCGTCGAAAGGAAATTTTGCAATAGCCAAAGTCTATCTTGCTAAATGCTATATCGATGGATATGGAACTGATCGCAATAATAAGAAGGCATTTGATTTATTCAAGGAATCCGTAGAAATCGGAAGCATTTGCGGTCAATTTTATTTGGGATATTGTTATGAAAATGGTATCGGAACTAAAATGGATGAAAAAAAATCGATAGAATGGTACACAAATGCAGCAAATAATGCGAACGCACCTGCAATATATTACCTTGCAGAATGTTACAGATCAGGAAAAGGTGTCAAGGTAGATGAAGCCACTGCAGTCAAATGGTATGAAGCATTAGCAAAACTAGAAATTGTTGAAGCACAATTACAACTTGGAAATTGCAATCGTTATGGAATTGGAGTTAAAATCAATGTAGAAGGAGCTTGTGATTGGTATAAAAAAGCAGCTATTAATGGCGATCTTATCGCACAAGATATTCTTAAAAAAAATTATAATGTAAAAATAAAAAATGATAACATAGTAACAAAATTCAAAGGATTACAACAACTTGGAATATATTACCTTGGAAAGATTTTAATAAATCTAGCTACGACAAGGCATTTTATTATTTTCAAAAGGCGGCCAAAAATGGATGTAAAGTTGCGCAATTCGATTTAGGCAATTGTTACAGATTAGGATATGGCGTGAAGGAAAAAAATGAAAGAATAGCCTTTGAATTATTTAATAGATCTGCAAAACAAGGATATATTAACGGAAAATTTCGACTTGGCTATTGCTATGATTATGGAGTAGGAGTTGAGATTAATAAAACAAAAGCATTTTGGTTGAACAAGATTGCTGCTAAAAAAGGAAATACTGGAGCACAAAATAATCTTGGAGTATTGTATGAAAACGGTGAAGGTACAGAAAAGAATTTAGATAAAGCCATTAAATGGTATGGTAAAGCTGCAAAAAAGGGGGATGATATTGCACAATTCAATTTAGGTACTTGCTATAAATTAGGGATAGGTGTTGAGATTAATGAACGTAAAGCTTTTGAACTTTATAAAAAATCATCAGAAAAAGAAAATAATGGAGCTCAATGTAATCTTGGATTTTCTTATGAAAAAGGTAAAGGTACAGAAGTCGACCTGAAAAGAGCTTTTTATTGGTATCAAAAAGCAGCAAAGAATGGGAATGAAATTGCACAATTTAATCTTGCGTCATTTTATCAGGATGGTAAAGACGTTCAAAGAGATGAATTTAAAGCATTGGAATACTATAAACAGTCGGCCGAAAAAGGATTTACTGATGCACAGTATCAACTTGGATATTTTTATCATAATGGGTTTGGAACAGAGAAAAAGGAAGATGAAGCATTAAAATTCTATGGAATAGCAGCTGAAAAGGAACATAGAATGGCTCAAAACAATCTTGGATTATTATATGAGAATAGACAAGATCTTAAAAGCGCCGCCTATTGGTATATTAAAGCAGCAGACAATGGGTATAATGTTGCACAATATAATTTAGGCAGATGTTATGAATCGGGAATAGGCGTTGAAGTAAATGAGAGTAAATCTTTTGAGTATTATGATAAAGCAGCTAAGCAAGGGCATTGCAATGCACAAATATATTGTGAATATTTAAATAGCATTAGAACTAAGGTTAATGAAACAGAAGCATTATATGGCCAGAGCAGTAGCAAATGAAGGTAATAATTCTGAGCTAGGCCATGTAGTTGAAGTCAGTAAAGGAATCAGAGAGAACTTCAAAAAAGATGTTATTTAGTGAAATTCGCACGAAATAAATTAGCTACACGGTACATTTAATAAGCGATTGGATTATATAAAGGGCTTTTGCAGCACTTAAATTGTCTGATATCTATGAAAATAAACACTTTTAAGAATGGTAAGAATTATAAAAAAAAGCTAAGAGTCAATATATTTAATTATAGTTAACAGGTTTAATTATGATAAATTCTATATCCTAATAACATTTTTTTTAAAAATATTTTGTAATTATCAACACATAAAATTATCTTTTATTGAATTTAATATATTTATAAATAAAAATTTTTAATAAATCTCACCTCATTATTTTTAAAAAAAGTTATAAATGGTAGAAAATATTTCAATTAAATATTGTAAAGTCGCTTATGTTATAAAATCGTGAAATTAAAAGTTATATTTAAAAATTAACTGTCATAATAATCAGTTCTTATAAAGATATAAATTACATTAATTTAATTATTAATATAATTATTAATTGCGCAATATCTTTATTTATTTAATTTTATTAACTCTATTAAATATTTCAGACTATGGAGTTAATGATGCAGCGTTTTTCTCTCTTGCATTTGTCATTTGAAAAAAAAAACTTACGTGCAGTAATACCCTTTATATTCTGAATTTATGGATCAATGGACACAATGGATATATCTATTGCCAACATGGGCCAGAACGGTCAGAAATCCCGAAATGTCAGCTCTGACAGAACTGCCAGAAATGATCGTCAAAACGAAGCTACATAACATACTCTGAAATTCTACCACATCGAGCCAATCTTCGAAAATAGTGAACGAAGCAATTCGGTGGTGTACACGTAATTCCAAGCATAATAACCATTAAAAAGTCCATTATGCAATATTACGATATATCTCGCGCCTGTTAAACTATTTAAATCTGAAAAAATATCTAAAGAAGATTTTAGTGGACTATCTTTAAAAGGTTTAATTGATTATATCTTCAATATCAAAATCAAAAGTTAATCGTCTCAAAGTATAAAATATGACAGATAGCTGAATTAAAAGTTAGTAATTAAATTAATTGAATAAATATTACGTACCGCTTTTACATCCTACGGAATTCGTTTTTGTCCATAAATATGGTATTGTAATAGAATCTCTCTTTTAAGACACTAAAGAAGATAAAGGTTGTGGCAATGATACAATCATAAAATTATTAAAAAATGTCAAAATACTTACATTATTCCTCATTAAATTTATTGCTACCAATTCATACTTATTAATTATTAGAAAGTGTGAGAAAGAAATCTAGCCAAATTCGTCAAATTTGTGACCGAAGTATTAGCCAAATAAGAAAAACCCTGCAACTTGCCCAATATCTTTTCCTCATTGGATGTCTAATATTACCAAGGAACGTTAATTATTAGGAACTCATTCGCACATATCTGAATTCCCTATTGTGTCAGAAATGCACAGCGTTTAGCTTCCTAATTGCATTTTTATGCAAGGCCAATATGGAACACTAGTAATATCGTTCTCACCAGAAAATGCATTACCAAATCTCTAAAGGACAACGATGATGGAAATAATCAAGAACCTTTTACAATGTTAATTCAAAAATTTTTATGCGAGGCTGTTGCTAAGTATTCGAGTAAAGCAAGAGGATTTTGAGTATTGCTTTTCTTTATTACAAATCCGTAATAATTGTGATGGTAATTTCCATCGTCATCGACTCTCGTAACATACAAGTAATGATGTTGAAGATCTAGCCGCAGTATGTGATGCTTAACAGTGTTGGCAAATGACCTTGAAATGACCTTGAAATGACATCAAATGACCTCAAATGACATCACTTTTATTATTTATTTCAAGTCAAAATGACCAAGGTCATTTGAAAAAATAGTAAATGACCTTATAATTTGCCATCACTGATGCTTAACGCTTTGTATTCATAAACTAAATTTTTCACACGTTATTGTAGAGATTTCACCAATGTTGTTAATTAGTTTTTTTTTGATTTTGATCGTGATTTTTCCATCTCTTCTAATTTACAATTTCGTCCACTTCATTATAACTTCTATTTGATTATATATCGTTCACTACATTCGGTACATTAGCCTGGTGATGGGATCGTGCACAATTTTTCAATTAATTTAATTTTCAAAGATTCAATAGTTATACTACCGTATTCACTAATCAAGTCTGTGATAAAGAAATATTAAAATGTCATAAAATATGTAAATGGAATAAACACCAAAATACCTTGTCAGAAATGTCAAATGTAGAAATGGGAGAGTAAATAAAGGGTCGAATATTATTTTTTTGTTTCTTTAATTTATTTAATTTCTTATATTTATTTACTTTCTTATATTTATTATATTTCTTTATTTTATTAAATATCTATTTTCTATTGATGTATTTTATATAAATATCTTGTCATTTTTGCCTTAATAAAGGAATTAACTAATTATCTTCAAATAATAAATATCAATAAAGATAATCTGACCCTTCATTTAATTAAACTCGTGTATATTTTTTTCATAGTTTAGACGTAATTAAACTTACTGTTAGCAAATATAAATTATTAACTTAATAATGTACAGATTAAACTTAACAATATATTACATTAGTCAATTATAATTCCTTAAATTTATTTGCATTTTTTTTATAAAAAGTATAGCATTCGTTACTTATAATTTCTTATAATTGATCCTTTTATCTCTATAATATATCTAAATAGCTCAATACTTAGGTTTTATATTATCTTGAAGGTAATGTATTATAATAATTTGATTCATTTTATTGTAAAAAAATTTAATGTAAGATTTTAATAACATTTATTAACTTATTTCTCTATAAAATATTATTTATAAAATGTCTTTTTTACAATGAGTATTTAATATATTCTGTATAATATCTATTCATTTTGGATAAGCTATTTTGTTAGTTAATAATTTAAGAAAGAAAAAGAACAGATTTATTGCTAAGTGATCAATACTTTGTATTTATTTATTTATATCTATTTAAAAGAATACTATAATTTTATGAATAGTTATTAATAAATAATATATAAGATATAATATTTGTCTCTTTAATAATAACATAAATGATTACTTTATACAAGTATTAAGTAATATATATTAGAACTTTAATGTTACCTTTAAACAAATTTTTATGTAAAAAATACTTTAATAATTATCAAAATTATTTATAAAAGTTTATATTTATAAGCATTTTGATAAGGCAATTAATTTATTATTAAGTACTCATATAATATTTTAAATTAAAGATTTTAAATAAATTTTAATTCATTGAATAGTAAAATAATTAAGAGGTTATATTATTCATAAAGATTAAACATGACAAAACAAAAGAATCTTTAATTTGTATTAAATAGAACTAAGTTTTTTTGAGAATTTAAAATTTAATAATTAATAATAATTAGTATTTTATATTATATATTAGTTTCAAACTTCATAAATATTAATTAATATTCATATAAAAATATTTATCCAATAATTTCAATAATTTAATAAATTATATATCTATAATATTAAAATATAATATACTTAATTAATAGAATAGCAATTTATGATTTGCTATAATCAATTCTTAAGACATTTACTGGATTTTTGAAATTTTATTCTGTTTTTTTTTTAATAGTAAAAACATTTGATATGTAATCTTATTTATATAAAAAGTAAGGATAATGAATTTAACATATATTTATTAAAGTGATTACTTCTAAAATTATATTCTAATAAAAATTTTATTTACATAAAAGACTTTAATCAAAATTATAATAAGCAGTAATTAAAGAAATATATGTTATATTAATGGTTAATATTTAGTAAATAAATTTTATCAATTATTATAAATTCAACAAATATTTTAGAATTAACTTTGTAATTAGATTCAGCAATTAATTTCAAATTTATAAATTGTTGCAACATAAGCTAAAATTAGTTGTAACATAAGTTGCAACAGTATAAGTTGTAATATATATAGGTTAAAACAAATTGCAACATATTAATTACGGTTCTCATCTTTAAATTAGATAATCATCTACATTTTTTTATAATAAAATTTGATTCAAATTATTAAATATCAAAATCTATTGTTTTAGAAATATAATCTATATATTTGAAATAATTAATTAATTTATAAAGATTTATAGCAAATTTATTATAAAAATTTATTTATTTACTTACTATTATTAATAAATTTTTTATGATTATCTTTAATATATTCATCTAATAATAAAATAATAAAATAATATATTCATTAATATTCAGTTATTTAAAATAATACTAATTTATACTTTTTATCAATAATGCTTAAACTATTTAAAATACCTGTCAATCTTGTTAAGGTTATTGTATTACCATTTTGTTTATTTTTTATAATAGGTCCAATATCCTGTGATTTTATAATTTTAGTTGGAATTATTTCTTCATTTGAAATAATTTTCTTAATAAGATTATAAATATTAGAAACAATTGGTCTTTTATTTGGATCAGAATCCCAACATGCTTGCATTAATTCAATATAACCTTCAGGTGCATTTGTGATAATAGAAGAACGAATACCATCACATATTTTAATAATAAGATCTATATCAGAATTTTGGTCCCAAAAAGGTCTTCTACCTGTCATTAATTCCCACATTATCATACCAAAGCTATATATATCTGAAGCTTTAGTATATTTATTATTTTTTGCCTCTGAAAAATTTCTGGAGCCATATAAGAAATAATTCCATAACATTCATTATCATTAACTGTTGATTCAGTTGATATTTTACTAATTTCTAAATCACTAATTATAATATTATATTCATTTTCACAAAGAATATTTCCACTATGAAAATCCTGATGAATAATTTTTTGAAAATGAATAAATTGAAGTCCAGTTATAATTACTTTCAAAATATTTAATTTCTTATTCCATTCAAGATTATAAAAGTTTTCTATTATATAATGTTTTAAATCATATTTATAATATTTCATAATAATTACAAAATCTTCTGTATTAGGATTTTTAGTAATTCCATAATATCTATTTAAATAATAAAAAGAATGCATAAATCCTTCATTTAAATCAATATTATAAATAGTATTAAGCTATATTTATAAAATATTTATAATTAATATATAAAATTTATAATATAAAATAAAACATTTAATTAAGTTAAATTTACCTCATTTAATTCCTTAGAAGTAATATTTTTAGAATTTTTCAGTTGTTTTAAAGCAACTATTAACTTTGGTTCATCAATTCAAAATCTTTTATTTCTTCATTCCAATAAGATGGATCCTTATTCCAAATAGCTTTATATACTTTACTAAATCCTCCTTCTCCAATAATTTCTAAGTTTTCGAATTGATTATAAGGAATAAATTTCATTCTACTAGATTCTTGAATAAAATTAATTTGTGTATATTTAATAAAATCATCAATAATTTTATTTCCACTTGATATATATAATAATTTAGATTGATAGCAAATAATACAAATTTCTTTATCTTTTTTTGAAGATCTTCTTTTTTTCAAACAATTTTTACAAATATTATAAAGTTCATTTTCAGATTCAATTATAAATCCTTTACTTAATTTTAATTTAAAGAAATTCAATTTATAAAAATTAAAAGATGTAGGAGATGTATTTATTGATACTCTTTGATACCAATAAAGTGCTTTTTCTAAATTTTTTTCTGTTTCTTCACCATTTTCATATAATAATGCAAGATTATACTGTGCATCTGCAAAATTATTTTCAGCAGCTTTTTGATACCAATAAAATGTCTTTTCTAAATTCTTTTCTATTCCTTCACCATTTTTATATGATAATGCAAGATTAAATAGTGCACTTGCATAATTATTTTCAGCAGCTTTTTGATACCAATAAAATGACTTCTTTAAATTATTTTCTGTTCCTTTACTATTTTTATATGATAATGCAAGATTAAATTGTGCACTTGCATAATTATTTTCAGCAGCTTTTTGATATCAATAAAATGCCTTTTCTAAATTCTTTTCTGTTCCTTTACCATAATAATATAAATTTGCAAGATTGAATTGTGCATTTATTTGTCCATTTTCAGCAGCTTTTTGATACCAATAAAATGTCTTTTCTAAATTCTTTTCTGTTCCTTCACCATTTTTATATGATAATGCAAGATTAAATTGTGCACTTGCATAATTATTTTAGCAGCTTTTTGATACCAATAAAATGCCTTTCCTAAATTCCTTTCTGTTCCTTCACCATTTTCATATAATAATGCAAGATTATACTATGCATCTGCAAAATTATTTTTAGCAGCTTTTTGATACCAATAAAATGTCTTTTCTAAATTCTTTTCTGTTTTTTCACTATTTTTATATAAGATTCCAAGATTATGTTGTGCACTTGCATAATTATTTTCAGCAGCTTTTTGATACCAATAAAATGCCTTTTCTAAATTCCTTTCTATTCCTTCACCATTTTTATATGATAGTGCAAGATTATACTGTGCTTCTGCTAAATTATTTTCAGCAGCTTTTTGATACCAATAAAATGAAATGTTATAGTTTATGACAGTTCCAAATCCTTTGACATAACATCTACCTAAATATAATTGCGCAATCGGATAATCACTTGCAGTTTTTAGAAAGCATTTAAATCCTTCATTCTTAGAATTTTCATCTAAACTAAGCATATTGTAAAAGTAAAAAATTCCAAGGAACAAAACATATTTTGATTCATTTTGATTTTCATTAAGCCAGTTGAATATATCATCAGTAGAGCGA